TTTATTGACTACTTTAGCTGTTTTGGCTTATCACATTTGCCATCAATGCCTTCACCCACTCACTAACTCACTTCCACCATACACCATCTACAACTCATCCAATTTTGTGCGAGTGAATATATAGTACATACATACATACTTATGTACATATGAAATATGTGCTATTTACATATAAGAATTATGAGCACTTAACTGTATTTTGCCTATCACTTATAATCAATTTCCTGTCTATTTTACATTCGCTTACTTACTACTTCGCACTTATTGACACGCTTACTACATCACATGCCTTCTGGTCGTTAAATGTAACCCACACCGACAACAGCTTTAGTCGAACAATGGACTCTTTCGACATATCAAGCGATTCCGAGGAAGGGCTGCTTGATGAAATCCTTGTCGATGGCAAATATCACCAGCAACGCCTGCATCAGCTACAGCGCATGCAAAACTACCACCAGCGTCAGCATCACTCCTACCCACAGCACTACTACAGTCAGTTTACAGCCTTCTCACAGCATCAACTTGTCGGCCAACGTCAACACTTCAAACAGCTAGAATATGATGCCATAGAGTCATCACCCCTACATTATTGTGAAAATACCACCACCCAGTCGGACGACAATATCTATAGCACTCAAGAAAATCAACTTTCGACAACACAACAATTACAAACGCAACAATTACAAACACAACAACTACAACTAAGAGAGTCCCCAACACCATCACCACCGCCTCTGTCACCTCTGCCACCGCTACCACCGCCACCACCTTCACTACCAACAATACGTTGTAGCTCCAGCAATAATTTGAATGCACCATTGTGTTCAAATGTTGGCCGCTCATCGGGAAGTAGTACAAGTATTGCTTCAATAGGCGGCGCTGCTTCCACTTCTGCACCAGCTACCTTCATTGTTGAGGAAAATATCGACACTGGCGAAAATACAATACACTCGGGTCAACTGGAGCTTGAGGGTGATGATAGCACATCAAACAATGACAGCACGGCGAGTAATGAATCATCGGTGCAGCAAGCGGACTCGACTAGTCCAAGTCTAATGACTGATAGCGCAAAGGCATCCACATCAGCTGCGGCTGCCGCAGCAGCAAGTGTCGCAACGGCAGGCGCTGGTGCTGCTGCTTCTGCTTCTGCTTCATTCAATCATCAATTGACCGCCGACATATGCAACTATAAGAACTCAAAGAGTCGTCGACTCGAGTATTCGCTCAAGTGCTTGAAATATCGGCGCAGTAACCCGTCGCAGGATTCGGCTTTTGGCTCATTGACAGACAACGATCTCTCAGTTGGGTCATCCAGCTTTCGAATAAGTAGTTTTCAATCGATTTCTTCACCGATTGATGAGGGTGTAGAAGATGTGATAATAGCCACTACAACAGGTGGCAAAGAAATTTGCCTAGAATTGGCTACCATACCAAGAAGCATGGTGTCACAAGATTCAGCTATATCATCGCCGTGTCGTGAAACATCGCCTAGCAACTTTTTGAACATTGATGACGCCATGTCTGCTGGCTCTTGTTCGGGCGCATCCACTTCGTCCGGCGGCTCGACAGGCAATATACGTCCACAACAATTTCCCGACTCGCTTTCGCCTAAAATACTCGTCACTTCCACCACTAACTCTAGCAATTCGTCCCTATCGTCGTCTAGCGCCACACTACCCCAAGGACAACAATTCGATCCACCCAAGATACTGGTTAATGATCAAAACTCTATCTATACAACTTCACCCTCGAAACGTACCGGCACCATTGAGGTCTTTTCACAAAAATATCGCGTATGTTCATTCGAAGATATGTCACCGAATAAGCGTTCCTCTTCCGACAAACTTTTGAAGAATGTCAATCGTATGGCTTTTCGTTCGCTCGAAGAGGAACGACGCATCGATAGCGCTTTTATGCCCATAGTTGACCGCACGAACTCGGAAAATCGCGTGAACATGCAGAGAGATGAAAAATACAAAAAACTCACACATGCCTCCTTCCGCATCAGTAAGACCTCGAGTCAAGTGATCGTCTATGACAACTCACCGAATCAGCTTATCACAACTTCACCCGTTGGCGCCACAAAAGTCATAACTAATGGCGAGATGCAGCGTCCAGCCACAGCAGCGGGTTCGGTGAGTAGTCGTCTAACAATGTGGCGCGATAGCAAATTCTATCGAAAGAATCGCATTGCCAAGTCAAATGACTCGCTGCTAGAAACATCGCCCAATCATTCGGCTCGTTTGTCGCCATCTTCATTGCGTGACAATCACTACGACAGCAGTTCCTCTTACGGCGGCAGTCGCAGCCACAGTCGACAATCGTTAAATCGAGGTGGTTCAATCAATGAGATATCCGGTCTGAATCAGGCATTTGGTGGTAGCGGTGGCCAAGGTTTGGCGGTGACCACAAGCTTTTGCGGCAATGTCGGCACAGCGGGTGCTGGTCGACGTTACTGCAGTTCAAAAAAGCGAGGATCTCGGTGATTCGAATGACTATTTGCGTGTTATGGATGCACGTAAATCGTATTCGGAACGACATCTGGTCACCTTGACCAAACTAAAGCAAACGGCTATAAACAATACGACAAGCGGAAGTGATCAATGCTGCCAATCCGAGGACGAAATGAGCTTCTATGATGACAATAATGTTTACAGTTACATGTATTATGCTGAGCAGCTGCAACAGCAACCACAACAACAACAACAACAACAGCAACATCATCAACAGCAACATCATCAACATCAACACCATGCAAAACAGCATTTTCGGCAGCAGCAGCAACAGCAGCCGCAACATCGGCGTAGTCACTATAATCAGCAACCGGCAGCCAAGTCAGCAAAGCAACAACTTCAACAACAACTATCTACTCATCAACACCATCACCAGCAACAGCAACATTCCAAACGTCCCCACCCGAATCAATTGAGCTGGAGTAGTTGTTCCATAAATCGCCTAAGGACATCCAATATAAAGACCACCTCTTTGGCTACCTTATCCTGCCATCATAATCTAGCTTACTCCGCTTCAGCACACTCTCCCAATGCTGCCAGCACTACAGCTGCCGGTACTATAGTGGCGCTACCACATGTCTCACGTAGCGCTATTTTCAAGTCGGTAGATCATTTTGTCAACTTGACTGATAAGCACGCTGGTGACGGTAGTAGTGGTGCTGGCAGTGGACGCAGCGGCACTTGCACTGCCACCGATGATAACAGCTCCCCCGACGATTCGCCAACACATCAGACACTGAGTGGCGCTGAACTCTCGAAGATTTTTGCCATGCACGACGCCCAAAGCAGCCAGTGTAGTGAAGAGAAGACACTGCTGCTGGACAGCGTTGAAATGTCTCCAATCAGTCCGACCGAGCCGGAGGAATTGGCCAGCGAAGAAAAAATGTGATATACTAAATTTCAGTAAATGCATACTAAAACATAAACTTAAAAGAAAATAAATGTTCTAGCGTAAATCGCATTAAAACGGAGTTGAAATGTTGGACGGACCGATGAAATGTGTGTAGAATGCACCAGCTGTTCAAGAAGATATAAAAGCGATAAGAGGGTTGAAAAAATACAGTTTTTAGATTGCTTCACTAGATTTATGAAGTTAGTTACAAAATATTTCTTTAATTTCAAAACTATCGTCGCCGGCTTTGAATAGTATTGATCGGGTGGAAGGACGTGAGCTTTATCCGTATGTACTGATCTGTGTTGCTGATCCCCAAACACCTGATCGCGAGTTACCACACAAGGCCAATAAGTTGAAGCCAGTCAGATCCGCGTAGGTGTATGTGTACCTCGGTTTTTGCAGTATTTTTATTTACTCTGTCCGATGGGGTACCACTATGAGAATAGGTTAGATAGATTATCGTACCTGGGTAAGACAGTTCCAATTCTTTTGTAAGACAATTGAAAGAGAGTAGACAAGTTGCAGCGATGAGCAGAAAGAGCTTTTACTCTGCACGCTCCTATACAAAAGGTAAAGGAAGCTTAAAAGAGTTTTGCCCGCGGGCAAGACAGTCCCATGTGCTTTAAAGCGGTGGTGAGCACCATCTTGCCCGCGAGCAAAGCTCTTTTTAATTTTTCTATGCATTTTATGTAGGCGCGTGTAGAGTAAAAGCTCTCTCTACCTACCGCTGCTTTAAATTTTAAACGATCTTGTTTATTCTAGCATACAATTCTTGCAAAAAAAAGTTTCCTTGCCAACTTCCATGGTGAAACGCTGTTTTGGTGAAAAGCAAATGAGCATGTTCCAGAGTGATGCTCAAAGAGAGCTGTCACTCTGTTCGCGTCTATAAAAAATCTACAGAGCGCTTTGAAGAGTTCCGCCCGCGGGCGCTGTTTTGAGCATCACTGTTCCAAATGGAGATACATATATAAATTTTGCTAGCGCTACTCCAACAGTCGCAATGGCCAATTGAGCAAAGCACAGGCGTGTCATTCGAGAGATCCGAGGTTTGAGTCTTTGGGCAGTGGAATTATTTTTTTTTTTTTATTTTTAGTTTTTTTTAAGAAAAAGTTAGTTTTTAATTCACTTTAGTTTTTTAGAAACATGGTTAATGTATTTTTTTTCTTTTTTAGTATAATTCTTCTTAAATTCTTTTATATTTTTTTGATTTGTTTTTTGGATTTCATTGTTATAAAAAGAAAAATATTTATTTTTAACTTCATTTTATTTTTATAAACTCATTCTATATATTTTCTTCAGTTTTTAAATTATTTATTTTCGTTTTTTTTCTTCTAAGTTCCAGTTTTTATTGCCTCATTCTTTTCTTTTTTATTTATTCTTTAAATCTATTTTTTTTTTTTTAATTTAATATTCTTTTGCTGTTTAGATTTCAATATTTTAAAAAGAATTTTTTTATTTCATTTAATTTTTAGAAAATTTTTTTTTTCAATCTAATCTTTTTCTTCTTTATTTAATTTTTGTTTAGCTTTTAGTTTTTATTGTTTTACAAACGAAAAATATGTGTTTTATCTCCTTCAAGGACATCAAGGCAATGAGTATTACAGATTAGCTTTATTTAACTGCCCGTAAAAAAACTAATTTCTTCGACATTCTTGCATCGAGATCGAGCTGCACAAAATCGCGAACTATTTAGATAAAAATAAGCATTTGAATATACGGATTTCACGCGGCAGATTTCTACGACATTTAGGCTGGAACGTCCTATCGTGAGCAGATCCTTCGATTGGTTTAAACCGAGCCAACCAGCTTTATTGACTATATTTTCTATTACAAAACTGTCGCAGCTAAGCTGGGTAGTGCCTTCATTAATCGTAGAGTAAATAGGGGCATCAAAGAAGTTGGAGTTCTGATCTTAAGTGAGCTCCTGAAGGAACTAGAGAAGAGGGGTAGTGAAGTGATTTTTTATACAGATGGCGTGGCACTTATGTCGACGAATAAGCTCTAAGAACGTTTTAAAGCTTTCTGTAGATTTTATGTGGACGCCGTAATGTAAAAGTTCTCTGTTAGCATCACTGTTCTACATCAGTGATGATCAGAGAGAGCTGTTAGCACAACAACGAGTCTTTGGGTTTTCTTTTTTGTTAATGTACATTTTTTCCTTTTTTAATTTAATTTTCTTTTAATTTTTATATTTCATTGTTTTAAAAGGAAGAATATTTTTTTAATATCATTTAATTTTTAGGAATTTATTTTACTTTTTTCTTGGTCAGATTTTTTATTCTTAAATTTAGTTTGGTTTTAACTTTTAGATGTTACTGTTTAAAAAATATTTTTTTAATAGCCTTTAGTAGTTTTATTAATTTTTATTTAATTTAATTTGTTTTTCTTTTGTTAATTTCATTTTCATTTAATTTTTAGCCGACTTCCAAAAAAGGAGAAGGTTATCAATTCGTCGGAATATTTTTTTTTATGTATGTTACCGCATAACTTTGGACCACGTTAACCGATTTCGATAATTCGGAAAGGTAGTGTTTTAGAGGTGGTCCCATACTAATTTGGTTTAAATCCGATTATTGGATCATGAAGCAATTAACGGTACTTTAATTTTTATAAGAACATTGAAGTCGGTTGTTCTTTTTACTTTAAAATTACTTGTTAGATTTTATTGTTTTAAAAAGAAAAATATATTTTTTTATTTCATTAAATTTTTAGGGTCTAATTTTATATTTTTGTTCTTTTTATTTTAATTTAATTTTAATGTTTAGATTTTGTTTTAAGTTAAGAACATTTATTTTGGTAATTTAATTTTTATGTTTTATTTTGGTTTTTTTCTTTTGTTTTAAGTTTTTTCTTTTTCTAATTTAAATTTTAGATTTTGTTGTTTTAAGAAGAAAAAAAATTTTTTAATATTTAATTTTTGAAAATATTTTATTTCTTTTTTTGTTTTTTTTTAATTTTATTTTTTTTTTTTAATTTTTATTTATTACTTTTTATTGCTTTATATATTTATGCTTTTATTGACTACTTTAGCTGTTTTGGCTTATCACATTTGCCATCAAT